AGAAACGATCACTAAGTTTACCGTATCCTAGTCCGTCGATAGTTGAGTTACTTCTGATGGCTTTGTGATAAGCTCTGATACCATGTTAAATTTAGGTTTTGAGATTAGAGACTAATTTCCCCCTTAGCATTTCATTAATAAAAAAGAATACACACACATGTTGATCAAAAACCCTAAGCTGAACGGCCCATACAAGGCGAGCTTTCAAGGATAGAGTTATACCTCTCGACCAATTGACGTAGTTATCTACTTCCAATGTGGCATGAGTGATGAGATTAATGGGCTTATCGCCAAAAAACAGCGTGCTAATTAAATAAATAAAAAAACATCGTGTTGAATCGAGTAAATTTCAGTTTTCATTCGAAGTATAGAAGGGAAAATATAGACGATGGAAATTAGTAATGACTTGACAACTTACTTTTTTATTTTAGGGAAAATAAAGACTTTCTGTAATGTTGTCGTGACTCGTGACCCACCTTTTTTTGAACGGATTGTGACCCACCTTTGTTTTGAAGGAAGTTCGGACTAATTTTTTTAAACAGATTTGTAGACCTTTAATTAATTTAGTTGTTGCTTGTTAATTACTTCTGCAAAGTTACACTTAATGTGTCCTTACATGGTACTGTCACAAAAAAAAACATGATGCACTTATATACATTTTTCTGGTACTTCATTCAATTTGATCCAAGTACCTTTTCAGATTACTATTTTGCATTCCATTATCTGAAAAAAAATGAAGTTTATACTAATTATAATGTAATTTATATTTATTACTTTCAGTTAGATCAAGAGCTCTAAATCCTCCACGGACATATCTTATTTTAGTTGGAGGGAAAAACACCAATGTGGTCGCTCTATCATCACACGCATCCGGAATCAGGAACTTCAAGTATGAATCAAACTAGTTGACTATTTTATTCATTTTTCAAATCATGTTCATTTTTATAATTACTAATCGTTATAAATTTCTCAGATGCATGTGCGCACTATGCAGCCGGCGCGGCATTAGAGATGCGTACGTGGAAGATTTGCCTCATCAAGGCCGGACCTATTATTGCAACATATGCATCGATAATATCACCAAAAAATGCAAGCCAGTAATAGATGTCTTTAACTATCTCAAGGCGTCTGACGGTGTACCATCAGTGGATGGAAAAAACGTACGTGCATACATAGTTTAACGTTATTAATATGAGTAATATTTTAACCTTTTGTTTCAAATTCATCATTTATTACATGTAATGATGTACTTGTGACATAAAAAAATTGCAAGTATATAAAATGAAAGATTTCATGCGCTTAAGGCAACAACGAGATGTGACTGACTTGGAAAAGATGATGCAACATTTGATCATCGACGGACCGATAGTCGGAGGCTTTCCAATTCGAAAAGATTTCAAGCCACACCTTGAAGAAATTTATCGTTGTGAAGGAGAGCGACAAGAACTAAAGAACGGGAAGGAACAACGTCATTGTGTTACAATAGTAGGAATGTGATTAGATAGTAATTTTAATCCGTTTTGGGAATACATGGAGTCATGTTATCCTTATAATTGTATATATCATAAAGATGGTTTCGGTAGAATTGCACTGAATGTCATTGATAAAGCATTCGTGCCAATTATCTAATTATAACTACTTTTTCTCTTGTAAAGTATAATTTCGTTGTATTAAATTTTGCTTTGAATTTATTTATCCCCTTCAATGTGTTATTTGATAAACTAAATAATAGTCAAGAATAAGGATTAGTTTGACTCATAGTATCATGAGAAAAATGTATAATAATTCATTTCAATTCAAATATATTTATTCTAATAAATATAGAAGGCCATACATTTATAAATTTAATAATAGTCAAGAATAATGATTAGTTTGACTCATAGTATCATGAGGAAAATGTAGAATAATTCATTTCAATTCAAATATATTTATTCAAATATATTTATTCTGCACTCCTTATTCTTGTTGTTTCCGTGTATTTAGTCTTCCTTATTTTAGGCAGTCTCTTATTAATGAGTCAATAATTAAACCCGCTACTTGATATGTTCATTCTTCTATTAACCCGCCACTTGATATGTTTGACACGCTACTTGATATGTTCATTCTTCTATTAATTGATTCTCATAATTAACAACTAGTTATTGCATAGTTGAAGTGATAATTAAAAAACACTAATCATTCACAACACAAACAACAAAATTCAAAAAGTTAATGCAATATTCAGACTGTTTATAATCATCGTAATACATGCAGACACAAAATAAGATTCAAATTCAAAACGTTAAAGGTAATTCAAATATGATAGCCTTCAAAAACGTCTGGATCGGGAAAAGACATTTCTAAATTGAGTGTTTGCACACTTTCAACACATCCTGTTAGAGAGAAAATGTAAAAAAAAATTGACATGCTCTGATACATTGGGGGGCGGATACACAGTGTGACAGTGTGTAGGGGAGTTGCCTTCATCAAAAGTTCAGTTTTAGCTCACGATACATTAGAAAAGTTAACAAGATCATAAATTTGCCCACAAATAAAAACTATTTACCCTATAAATTATTGAATGACTCAATTTAAATGAAAAGAAGAATATCATATTTTATTGGGAACTATATTATATTTAGAATACTTTATTTCCTTGTGGGTAATCATTTATTTATAGTGATAGTATTTGATTAGGTTCTGATTTATTTTCCTTGCTTTTATAGTTGACCGATCCCATTATATCGGATCGCGTGTTGTATAAGTAGTACATTCTCTTCATCAATACATACGGAATTATATTTTCCTTCTCTTTTTCGCATATCAGAATACTATTGCGTGTAAACCAGTTAGTTATCATGGTATCAGCGCATTGATCACCACAACTAATTCATATATTAGAGTGAGAAATATAGGAAATTCATAGAATCACATAGTTTTTTAAATATAGCCACATTTCCACATAATAGTTGGTGGACTCAACATATATTTGATCCAAAAGTTAATGAAAAAAACAAAAAAAAAACTTTCATACACTATTTAAAAACTCTCTCATAACAATCACACATATAGTAGACATTTACAAAGAAGAATATTACTTTGACATTGAGCAAAAACTCTTGCGCCTTGCACGATCAAACACTAGTCTTTCTTAATAAGTGTGATCATAATCTGTTGTTAATTAAATTCATATCATATCTACTAAAGCAAATAGATTTTTAAAATGGTTTGAGCATGGTATGGTATAGTGTAGTCTCATTTCAAGATGGGATGGTATTGAAATATTTTATTCAAAAGACATTTAATCATAATTAATAATTAATACAATGTATATGTGTATCATACCCAGTGTCTAAAAGGCGTAAGACGCGCTAAGGCGGCACGGCCAAGTCTTAAGCCTTTGAAGTCTAGGCGGGTTTAGGCGTGACTTAGGCGTGAAAAAGCGTTTTGAGTTTTTTCTTTATTTTAATTTCCCTAGAGATAATTTTAAATATATAAATTTAATATTATATAATGTATATAATGTTATTTAATATTGTCATAATATTCAAATTTTCAACAAAAAATATTTATCCAGTCCTAAATCTAGCAAATATATTTTGCGGCAACACAAATGAAAAACTCATTGAGTGATAATATTAATATTAATAAAAAGAAATAATATGTAATGTTTTATCAAAATGCATATATGCAACAAAAATGTGACTTATTAGTAACTTTTAGTGACTACAATTAGGTTCTAACTTTACATTATGGTGAGTATAAAAACATACTTACCGACAATATGGTGACCGTAAAAACATACTTACCGTCATGTGTCACACTTTTTGTCCATTAATTTTATTATAGTACTACTTTAGATAAAATATCTAATAAGAATGATAATAGTGAGGATGTTGATAATGATAATAAGAAAATATTATAATACTAGTAATATAATAACGACCATATAATAGGGAGTACATAATATGCAATGTACAGAAATAGAAATATTAACAATAACAATACTTGGTATGGAGTACTAGCCTACTGGAGTAGTAGTGGGAAAACAAAAAATTTGCATGTTCCTCTATAATACGGAGTACAACTTTCCCACACTGGTTGGCAAAGAAGAAGTCATCTTCACAGTCCTTTATAAATTACTCTGTCTAGCTACTCTTAATTGTCCATAGGAAATTCCTTCTTCATTAATTAGTGTCTTTTGTTGCTCAAAATTGAAGGCTGCAGTACTTTTTCTGTCTTTGGTCACGCCTAAGCCCAATGCGAGGCGTTTCAGTGACGCGTCATGCCTAGGCTCGCCTTGGCAGTGCCTTTTGACGCCTTTTAGAACACTGATGGTATCCCATGTGGAACCATGATTTAAAATAGTGGTACGCAACATGTAGTTCTCGACTGAGCTAAACTACTTTCTTAATTGTCTCAATCATCTCCCAATTGTAAGTATACAATTTTCTAGCCTCTCTCATGATTTCATGTTGTTTTTGCCTAAATTTGTCCTTTCTATTATAAGAAGATCCCAATATTTTAGTATCATACATAAATATTCCATCAAATTATCCACAAAATTCTTATTTGTGCAACAACGACAATCACTAATTCCAATTGTTAAAACAATTAATGAATATATCATGTGTATAGAATTCCATTCAAGATAAGAGAACTTTCAATCCATTAAGCTTACCATGCATATTAGAATCTCATCATATTTTTTATCTCTAATTTGGAAAAAGATAATTAAATTTTTCGCAAAAAAATTAATCACCAATAGCACTTTTCAGGAATGATTGTGTAAACAACATGTTTAAATGCATGAACTTACTCAATCATAACTTTGTGGAGTTCAAATGTCTTATAACAATTTTCATATGATCATACGCTATTTGAATGAATTATTACTTCATCTAATAGTTATATTTTTATCTGGATTGGGGCGCAAATTTTATTAGAGGTACTAGTAATAGCTCCTGGCCCCCAAGCTTATCCATTGACCGCAACGTCAACTTAAAACCATATACTAGTATGAAACACTTTGTATAGATGGAGTTGAGATGGAATCACACTTGAAAACAATCAATCAATTAATTAAGTATTGACTTGTTAATTAATTAATTAAATTAGGTGGCTAGATTCTTGGATGTACAAATTCATCGGTCATTCCGTGCTCACCACTGCTGAACTCCTGGCTGGACAGCACCGACTTTCTGAACTTCTTCATGTCGTACGGGTTCCCGTCGTACTCAGAGCTGCCGCCGGAGCCGAACGTGGTGGCGCTGCTGTTTTCGCTTTTAACGGCGGCGGCGCTGTTGAGATCGTCAAGAGAAACGTCTCCTTCCAAAGCACGCACAATTTGGCTCATCTTGGGACGCCTCCGGGCGGAGTGTCGGATACTGGCGCCAGCACAGGCCACCATGCGGCTCATCTCTTGCGGGTCGTAGTTGTTTTCTAGCCGTGGATCCACCAGCTCTTCATAGCTTCCTCCCTCTGCCGCCCGCATGAGGATTGGCCTTGCCTGCACTCACCTCAGACCAAGAATCATTAATTAATTAAAGTTATATTCCCAAAACAAAACGCGACTATGGACATTTTTCTAATAGATATGACTCACCGTAAAATTAAAACATACGCAAAAAAAAAAAGATTAAGTATGTTTTATTCTTCAAATAAGACTTATTTTTTCATATTTAAAGAGTAATTTGATATATATAAAAAAAACCAAAATAGGAGAGAATGAATCATATTTTGGGAGTAAAACTCTGATAGTCCTATTTATGAACTTTATTTATGATGTAGTTTAATTTTATGAGTTTTCTCCTTTCTTTTAAAAAAATATCAAGTTTTTTTCAACACTAAGAGTAAACCATTACAATGATGAAATCATATGGTTATAATATGGAATATGAAACTATGATTCTATTTTAATATGATTTCAGAACGTGCGTATAAAATAACATAGGGTGTTTGTAATTGATTGCGTTTTTATTTTTTTCTTAATTAAAAGCAAAAGTGGAATCTAGGAGCAAATTAGAGCACTCAAAAATACTAATGCATTTTCACTTAATATCTGTTTATGCTTTCTGAAAAAACAGAAAATAATTTTTTCACCTAAGCAATTTTTTCAAAATAAATCACCTTTTTTTACTCCTCTAGGCAACTTTTTCAAATAAATGAGTGCGTATTTTTGTGGATCAGGTTATATATATATATATATATATATATATATATATATATATATATATATACCATAATACACAAATGGAAATTTAATTTTTATCGATATATGACTAACATATATGTAGGTATAGAGTATATGTTTCCGTAAATACGACTATCAACTTGCTATTTCTTTGTATGACCTTTACGTAATGAATGAACTTCTTTATTGAGTTATTAATTAAGTTTCTTTATCTGTGACCAAATCAACAAGAAGTGATTGAAGTTTCGACCAAATCAACAATATCATAATAAAATTTTATGATATTGTCACATGAAGTGCTTAATTATGTGGAATAATTAAGCTATGTAATAAAGTTGTGAATGCATATATACATACCCAATCTACAAGGCTATCCTCGTCATCATTGCTTAAATCAACCGGACGTCTTCCAGTTATGAGTTCCAAGAGCATTACTCCATAAGAGTATACATCTGATTTTTCGGTTAATTTGCCACTTGATGCATACTCTGGAGCAAGGTATCTGATTCAATTAAACCAAATACATTTTATAAGTTTAAGGAAAGTTAATTAAGGAATAAAGAAGTTCAAGTAATTAATTAACTAAGAACTTATTATCATTCTAGCTAGGTTTCTAGTTTTTATCTGATGTTTTAGAATACAATACATGTACTACGTATCATTCTAAGTAATTGACAAAAAAACATTACTTTATGACCAAGTGACTGAAAATTCGGCGCATTAGCCCCCTGTGATTTAAAAAATGCGTCAAACCCCCTTGTGTTTTAATTAATCATGCACAGAACCCCATTTATGAATAAATTTAATGATTTGAAAATCACTTTTCCTAATATTTTGATTGAATATGCAAATAAATATGTCAAAATCTCTGAATCATACAAAAATGTTAATCATTTTTCTTTTATTTGACAATTGAATTTGTTCACATAAGGGATTTGACGCATGATTAATTAAAACACAAGGGGGTTTGACGCATTTTTTAATTCACAGGGGGCTAATGCGCCGAATTTCCAAATCACAAGGGGGTTTGGTGCATTAAACCCTAATTCGAGATGACTATTTTAATTATTCTTTCATTTCTTTTTTTTTTATATTATATTAACATATAATCCGTACTATGTATAATTTAAACATAATTTTTCACAATTCCGTAGATTCAATCAATTTAGCCGCTTCATTTCACCGATTTCAGCAGATTCACTTAATTATTCCATTGATTCAACCAATCTCAATATTATCAAATGACGCTATTGATCATTCATAGTTTCTAGCTGCTAAGTTTATGAGTTTTATTGCATTTTTTCCTTTCTAAGTAAGAGAAAAACTTATGCACCGTGCTAACCATGCTACATTTTGTAAAGCTGATAGTTTATAACTAAAATTGATGCTAATTTCTTGTTTTTGTGATCTTATTGTTTTTCGTTTATAAATAACCATGCCATAAACCGACGTTGAATTAAACAGCTTTGCTTTAACATATTTACCCGAATGTTCCCATGATACGTGTGGACACATGAGTGTTGTTGTCGGAGGAGAGTTTAGCCAGTCCAAAATCAGCAACCTAAACAAAAACAAACCATAAATTATTTACAATATATATAATACGTAATGATCTTAATTTGAAACTAATAATTAATGGCGATGGAATCATGCATATATATTTTTAAGTTTTTCTATTTGATTTGTGTCACATTTCTAGGTGAACCCATATTGTATTTGCATAATTGCGTCCATTTTTATTTAGTTCAACATTCAACTTCGAACACGTTTATGAAACCGTAAATATTGGCCCTCCAACAGTAAAAAAGAAAAGAAATTGTTAATAATGGGGTGTAAGTTCTTATATTTTATTTTACTATGTTAGTGCAAATATTAATTGATGATAAAAATGAGTTGTAAACTCAAAATTGACTTACAAAATACGAAGCAACCCCCAATTATACGTACTGGTCATTTTTAAAACTACTCAAATATAGGAGGGAGCCATATGAAGTTTATTAGTGTAATTTGTTGCTATATATATACTATGGCTCACGATTTGCTAGTTTCGTTTTGACTTCTCTTGGTCTTCTATTTAAGTTTGACTTCGTACTATTTTATAGAAGTACATATATTCATAAATTATAAACTTAAATAATGCGGGTATGCTCTTTCCAAATTTATATCAAGACAATCTGGTAGAGTGTTTCCTTATTATATACCAAGTATAAACGGATCGCGGATACGATCGAATACAACTTATAAAAACTAATCAACTGTAACGTTTAAAGAAGTTTCAAGTTTGATTTGAAATGAGTCAAAACGAACGATTTTGAATTGGGAGAGAGGGTAAAGCATATCGTGATATGGATCAATGGCATTCAACCGTTACCGGTTAGCGGATAGCGGGTTATGTTAGCGGGTTGTCAATGGCGGATTCGATCAGCGGTTTGACTAGCGGTTTAATAATATAGCTGTTTGGCCATAAAATTAGCAGAAAACACCATTTCGCAAAACGCCAACTTAAAACTCTCCTATTAGCAGCGTTTTTATTTCAGGATTTTCATCCAAAAACGCTGGTGTCGAACAATTATTTACCAAACAGCTTTTTCAATTATTGAAAAACCCAAAAGTGGTCAAACCGTCATTTTCGGCTGAAACACCATTTACCAAACACCCCCAAAGGCCCCAATATGGACATGTGGCACTCCAGCTTCAAATTGGTTCATATATTTGTGTGTGCAAGTGGTAGAGCCTAAAGTGTTGAGAAATTCAATCTCAAATAAGGATTTAATCTCACCAAAACATGATAAATTCATAGAATCAACACATATGAATACTAACCGGTTGGGGAGAAACCAAACTTTGATTATATAAATGGTCCAAGGGCACTTAAATGGAATATTTTCCAACATAAAGTACTTACTTACCATTGCCTCAAAATTGTAGTCCAGCAAAATGTTTGCAGCCTTTATATCTCTGTGTATAATGCGAGGGTGACCTGCAGTTAATAAAAACACAAATAAGTGTTCCTGTTAACGAGATGAATAAAATACGGAGTACATAATTAAGAAAAACCATATTGAAATTTGAAAGCTGTATCTATCTCACTTTAAAGTGTGCTTTGAATTGGGCAGAATTTGTTTGATTATTAAACAGATGTATTTCATTTTTTCCTTCATAAACCAAAGAAATGAACCATCCGTAAGCTTTGTATGGTATTGGGTAATTAATATCGATATTCTTTTTATTCAAACTTGGTTTCAAAAGCCTTGCGGGCCTCCGCGATCGAGTGGCAATTATATTGCTCATCCCTAATAGTACAACAAAATCTTAAATGCAATAATGTACGAAGTATATATGAACATCAATTAAGTTTTTTATTAGACCCAAATTTCTTATGCGTATTTTATAATTCTCATAGTCTAACTTCATCTTACCTCTAATTTGAACTGAACTAGCTTATGACTAAAATCAGCACAATCCAAAACATTCTTAATAAATGCTGCAGTAGTAGTTAGAGACTCAAAGAACGTATTCATTCTCCAACGAAAAAGGCAATTTCTACACCGAAGTTGTATACATTTCACACACATGGTACATAATTGTGTGCACACAAACAATGTGTACCACCCTCTAATTGCCTGTGTACAAAGGCAGCTCGTATAGCATTGTTTGTGTGCACAGATAATTACATACAAATGTGTGCAAAATATGTACAGATTTTGTGTATAAGAAGAATTGATGTTGAATTCTCACACCGGAAACGTGTGAAGGAATTAAGTGTTATGTTAAGACTCGAGGTTCCATCCTAAATGGTCAACCTGATAGGAGGAGTAATCCGGATCTTAATATAGCACTTAATTCCTTCACATGTTTCCGGCGTGGGAATTTAACAATTGATGTTCTCCAACAGTTATAAAACATACTCTGTGCTTTTTAAAGTACCTGAAATACTTGGTAACGCAAACATTTTGGGAGGGAGGGGTACTTTTTTACCCCAGGGGTCAGGCTAGGGGGCTGGGGTAAGATCAAAGTCACTCCATTGAATATTGAAATCGGAACCTTCCATAATGTAGAGTGAGTCGACGACAGCCGAACCGCATCCTCAAGGATGAAGGGGCATATATGTATGTGTCATGTGTGTGTGTATTAAATTGATTTTTATATCATGATATGGTGAATATATGAAAGGTTACCAAAAGTATAAGTAGTACGAACGGAATATTAAAAAGAATTTAAATTACGCTAGAGGAAAGAAAAGAGTGGATGGAACTCACAATCTTCGTGTAAATAAGCAAAGCCCTTAGCAGAGCCTAGAGCAATTTTAAGCCTCGTTTGGAAGTCCATAACTGGGCGACCACTTCCATGAAGGTGATACTCAAGAGTCCCATTTGGAACAAACTCATACACCAACATCCTTTGTGGGCCAGCTATGCAGTACCCCACCAGAGACACAAGGTGCCTATGGTGGACCCTACTAATGATCTCCACCTCAGCCTGAAACTCCCTCTCCCCTTGACCGCTGTTTGACTTCAAGCTCTTCACTGCAACCTCCTTCCCGTTGGGCAGGACCCCCTTATGGACGTACCCAAACCCGCCCTGCCCCAGCAGGTTCGCCTGCGAAAAGCCCCCCGTCGCCGCCGCTAAGTCGTTGTATGTGAAGCTGCTCTGGTTGAAACCCCCGATGCTTGGCCGTGGAGGCGCCATTGCCTGTGGGTGTTGGCCGGAGTAGGCGGCAGAGTTCATTTCGCCGCTGCTTATCATTGGCGGCGGCGGAGGTGGCCCCATTGGCCATCCGTACTCTGAGCTGACTGCACCACTTGGTGGGCCCACTGGCGGTGGCGGTATCTTGACCATATGCTCCCCGGAGTGGACGGCGGCGTTGTTGTGCCAGTTTCCATTATTCTCTCCTCTGCCTTGATAGTAGTTACCTATATATATGTATGAATATAGAATTAGACATCTACATATTTCATTTTATGTATAAAAACAAAAGTAGATAAAATTCTAAAGTAATGCCTTTTCCTAAAGGTGAAATTTACTACTACGTATTACATATAACGGATTTAGATCTAATTTTATCTACTTTTACCGTTGGGGTAGTAATGGATTTGGGCACGTGACTTTCGCTTTTTACGGCGACAACAACAAGAAATCAAGAAGGCAATCAAAATGAGAAGCAAAAGTCCTGCTCCGGCTGCTACTCCTGCAATTGTCGCTTTTTGATCATCAGATAATGTTTTCTCAGATGATGAACGGTGTGACGACGGGGATGAATTCGATTTATGTTTCGCCGCTGGAGGAAGCTGTGAACGGGACGGAGGAGGTGGCGTAGGGAACGAATTCGATGAACTAGGTGGAGGCGACGATTCGTTGTTGTTGGCAGGAGGGGGAGGAGATTGATTGGTGACGTTCTCAGAGGCTGGAGGTGGTGAGGTTTGGTTTGAATCAGACCATGGTGGAGAAGATGAGGAGTCGGGAGGAGGGGGTGGAGAAGAGTTTGATGGTGGTGGTGGTGGAGAACCCCAAGAAGAAGTATTTTGTGAAGGTGGTGATTCTGTAGGCGAAGACATTTCATACAATGTCTTCGCCTCAATCTCTTGATAATGATATCTGCTTCAGTCCCTCCCAATCTCCCAAAAGTGACCCTGCAAATTGAGCACAACAAATAAAAAGAAAATGTGTTAAACATCAATCCATCAAACATAGATTAATCTTTGTATGAAATCGTTTTGCAAAAATCAAACCTAATATTGTATAAACCTTATTTAGGTAAAACAAGAATTAGAAAAATATTACGTATAAGATTTTAAAAAATGAACATGATCAAAAAGTAAAAAAAAATGTTTGATGATTCTTACACACCACCTCTACCCAAAAGGTGAGAGGAGATTAGGAGGAGAAATGAATGAAAGATGATACCTTTAGGAGAAGGGCAGGCAAGATTGGGAGAGAAAAGAGAGAAGGAGATATGTGTTATTGTATGGGGGTATGGTTTGAATGAAGAAAAACATGATCAAGAGGATTTCGATCCCTAACCATACACACCTCCTAAATGAGGGGAACGAACTTTTCTAGCTCTCTATAGCTACCCACCATTTTAAAGCCAATTGTCACCTCTCTATAGTCTATAGCACTCTATAGTCTATAATCGGATTATGCCTACAAAATTTGACACATTCATTCAACTTTCCCTCCGTTAGCAAAAAATAACCGTTGTGTTTGCTTGTGATTGCTGAAAATGTCATTAATTAAAAGTGTGTATTCCTAATATTAGTAATATACTCCGTATTTATAAGAAATTGCCATAGCCAGTAGGCGCTAACACAAGCTTTGAGTTTTTATTGGATTTGTATAAAACCTACGTCTTTTTTTATTGTATCGTTCATCTATTTTGAATTTGTAATTTTTCCCTTTGCTTTCTTTTCTTACGACATAAAATTTTAGACTAATCATTCATCTATTGTTCATTAGTTTTTTGTCATTATTGTTGAGACAAAATTGCATATTTGTTCTATAATAACCACAACACTCCGCATTGACATTTAAAGTAAGATGATGCAAATGATTATAAACTCCCCATTGAGAATTGTCTCTTCTGGATAACCCGATAGTAAATACAGTATACACTTAGATCAAAACTAGAATATCTTAGACTTAGGCTAATGTCACTCCCTAATACAATTACTATGATGGAAAAATTATATGTTCTCTACTAAATGCAAGAACCAAAAATATAAATGCTCCCTACTATGGAGTATTGAGTCCCGTTCCTATCAGGTGTTCCTGAAGAGCAGGCCCGTGCGGACAAGCCCATCAGAGGGTCTTCCCGGTGGAATTTTTTGATGAAATTTTTTGAGCATGTTCCTCATCAAGTCTAGTTTATCCATACCAAAATTCAGCTCAAAATTCGATCGGGAAGGCAGTCAAATAAATTCTGGAAACATACTGCACATTATATGTGCGCAGAATGCTCAGTATTTTTCCAGAATTTATTTGACTGCCTTCCCGATCGAACTAGACTTGATGAAGAACATGTTCAAAAAATTTCATCAAAAAATTCCACCGGGAAGACCCTCTGATGGGCTTGTCCACACGGGCCTGCTCTTCAGGAACTATGTATATGAACTGCCCTCATGGAGTATTTATATTTACAAAAACATCTCCAATATTACAATGTACACGGTGCACATCGTCATGAAAAAGATAGACTCATAAAAAAAACATTTCTCTTGTTTTTTTAAAGGAAGACATTTAATTAACATTAATCAAATCGTTGGCCGAAGCCGAAACAATGAAAGGAGGAGAATCAACCCAACACTGCGAATCAGAAATAGAACAAGCCGCCCGGGATAACAAATGAGCGGGCTTAGTCAGTGATCGCCTCACATGACAAAATGAAATAAACAAAAATGAATTCGCTATGTCTCTAATGTCGTCTCTCAAAAGTCCCACCAAAGAGCAGCTTGAACCCCAAGGATTTCCGAAATTGCTTTAGCTGCAGCAGATTCAATTTCCGCCGAATTGATGCCATACTCCTTCAACCAGCTTAACGCCTCCCGAATACTCACGAGTTCAGCTCCCAAAGCTGTCATCACTCCTGGCCACGGTCTTGAAACCCCTGCCACGAACTCGTCTTCCGAATTCCTCAAGCACCAACCTAGCCCGCATCGGTCTGCCCGCGTTGCCGCATCCACATTCAACTTCCATCTTCCTTGGACTGGTTTGCTCCATAATGCATGCCCCTGTTGGATCATCGGCTTCCGTCACCCGCTGGAAACCTGCTGCTGAGCCTGCTGCCAGCCCTCGACAAGAGCCTGACCCTGGTGTGCTGCCTGCGACGGGGAAGAAGCAGTCCCCTGCCAAACTCTCTGGTTCCGTTCTGTCCACAACGACCAGCAGCCCCATATGAATCTCTCCAGGTCCGTCTTGTTCTTTCTCCTGAACTCCTCGCTAATCTGCTGCAGGAAATCTAGCCCTTCTGCCGAGCTCCATTGCCACCGAATTGCTGCCCAAAGATCCTTAGCAACCTGGCAGAGTCTAAACAGGTGCACGCACAATTCAAGATCCGTTCCACACAGCCCGCAAAGCCCCGAACAATTTACTCTTCGAACCTGCAAATTAAGCCTTAACGGAAGACACCCGCTACAAACCTGCCAAAAAAACATTTTAATCTTAGGTGGAATATTAAAGTTCCACATGGCAGTCCAAAGCATCCCCGGCTGGGTATCCAGCTCCCCCCTTAGCTGTCTATAACAACTCTGAACCGAGAATTGACCGCTTTCCTCCCATCTCCAACAAATTGAATCCGCGATTGATGACCTCCTCAAAGGAATACCCATTATAAGGGTCGCATCTCTTTCCTCAAAAATATCATTGATGACATCTCTATCCCACTCTCTGCGATCAATGCATAAAAGATTCGCCACCACCGCCTCCTTTAAATCTTCATATTTTTCAGATAAAATCCGAGGATTTTCCTTGTCCGGGAGCCATGGTTCCTCCCAAATATTAATAGAGTGCCCGTCCCCAACTCTCCAGTAATAGCCCCCACGAATCACATCTTGGGTATGAAGTAAGCTACGCCAAATAAACGACGGATTATTTCCCGGTTTTGCAGTCAAGAAACTTCCTTTGGAGTAATACCGAGCTTTGAAAACTCTCCAGAAAAGGCCACTCAACACGGTCATAGGCCTTACTCATGTCTAATTTAAGACCAACAAAGCCTATCTTTCCCTGACGTTTTCACTTCAAAAAAACGTTGGGATCCAAAAGCCAACATTATATTATCAACAATATATCTACCCGGAATAAAGGCACTTTGTTGTTCAGAGATGCACAGGTGTAGAATATTTTTCATTCGATTAGCCAGCATTTTGGAAAAAAAATTATAAATTACATTACAAAGGCAATTGGACGCCATTCGCTCAAACTTTCCGGGGTATCATTTTTAGGAATAAGCAAAATGTGAGTATGATTAATGTGATCCGGAAGCTTACCAGTCTCAAAAGCATGTTTGCAGAAATTAACAATGTCTGGTCCCACCACATCCCAGAAGTGCTGGTAGAAACCCGGACTGAACCCATCCGACCATGGAGATTTATCCGGGAACATATCAAAAGCTGCTTTTTTAACCTCCTCGCTACGGATTGGGCCTAGAAGATCACTACTATGCTGAGCGTTGAGTCGTCGTTGCACACACCCAAAAATAAAGTCAGTTGTACCACTCCGTGCATTAAAAAGATGATTAAAATAATCCTCGATTAATCTGCCAACATCAGTCGTCGTCTGCTCTTAACAGAATTATGAAAGAAGCGTGTATTCAGGTCTCCTCCCTGAAGCCAGAATTCTTTTGCCCGTTGTCTCCAGTACACATTTTCCTTCTCTAGAAGTTCCAGATACTCAGACCCCGTTCCTGAGGCCTTCCTTTTTTGTCGTCATTCCCTCGGTTTGCTGTGATAACTCCACCTCTGGGTCCACTACTTCGACTCCTGACTGCCTCCCCGACCTAGATGATGGCTCCCCATGCAAAAATTTACCATCACCATTAACCAGCCATTTACTACTTTTGCTCGCCATCCCCCTACCAGACCCAGCTCTCAACCAAGAGCCAAACGGTTTCTCCCTGCCGCTTTCCGCAAACTGAAATCTCCAAGTGCACATGCGATCTACGTGATTCATTAATCCGCAGATAAAGCAGAAATGTGGCAATCGTTCATACTTGATGTTTACTCTAATAGGTACTCCTCCTCGCTTAAGTGTGACCTTACGTTTAAGAGAATTATTCACATCAAATATGACACGAATACGTAAAAATTCTTTCCACCCCCCGGTGAAGTTATTCACATCAGCTGAATCATAAGAGCCGACCTGATCCCCAATGATTTTACAAATATCTTCCGTAACAAGTTCACGGGGTAGATCAAAAGCTCTAATCTAGAAACAAACTCTATCCAGCACAACAAATTTCGGGTTTTCATGATCGGCCAATTTATGCAAAATAAGTAGGGAATTTTCACAGCACCACGGACCATCAACCCAAACCCGCTCATAATCGACATGATCGTAAAATTGAAAGAGATGCTTACGATCCTCCAGTTCTCAGATGTAGACCCCCTTACTTAGTCTCCAAATGTCTGCCATCGTGTCCCGAACGAATGGAAATTTGATCGGCCTATCAGGGAGTAACCGACCCACCATGCATAGTTGCGCTACAGTTGGAGGTGCGTTTGTAATAGCTCTGTCAATATCAATTCCATCAGTATCGTCTTCATACTCCAAACGTAATCGGGCGTATAGTTCGTTTATGTCGCTCGCCATGATAGCGAGAATCAGATAAGCGATCTGCAAGTCACTTGGCCGACGATCGACGTCGGAGTATCAGAACCCTAGAAGTCTAGGGAGTGTAACCCTTTTATTAATAACGGAGTATAACATTTCTCTTATTTTTTTCACGGTTTTAAATGTTTTTGACAACCTCTTATCAGCAATGTCAACCAATGTCTAGATCTAAACATTTTTTGAACATTATGCCAAAAAAAACTATTCAAATAAAGAGAGCGATACTTTGCTTTTTACTACTCCGTAATATTGATGTCAATGTCTCTCTCATGCAATATGTGTGCAATGCACATTGTGACATTAGAGATGCTCTAAGCGGAAATCGAATATCGTACACCCGATTGTACGTTGCTCACCGTATAACTAAGTACTTTATGCTAAAAGAAATGAGTATAACGATTAAAGAAATGAGTATTGATTAAATCACATTATTAGTAGCACAATTAAGTATTAGAAGCATGTAGTGGTGCACTCGGGCCGGGCGGCCCGGCCCGGAACCGGCCCGGCCCGGTTACTGTTTGGCCCGGCCCGGCCCGGGGCCCGGTGGGTCCACCGGTTCGGTTCGGCCCGGCCCGGCTGCTGGGCGGTTCGGGCTCGGGCCCTGTTTTTGGTGAACCGGCCCGGCCGGTTCGGGCCCGGTTCGGGCCGGTTTTTAATTTTTTTTTTTTTTTTTTGATTTTTTTTAAGTTTTGGGTTGGATTAGGTATTTTGGGCCATTTGAGGTGGTTTGGGGTGGTTTGGGGTTGAGGGGGAGGGGTTGGGGGTTAAATAGAAGAGCCAAAAAAAAAATTATAACCGGTTAGGCCCGGCCCGGCCCGGCCCGGTTTGGCCCGGAACCGGAACCGGAACCGGAACCGCCCACCGGCGGTTCGGGCTCGGGCCCAACATTCCTGGCCCGAGGCCCGGCCGGGCCCAGGCCCGAACCGGGCCCGAACCGTCCCGAGTCCACCACTAGAAGCATGCAATTGACTATCGTGATCTACACATAATATATATGCTACAAATCAACTTATTTATTTAACGATATTATCATACTATCATCACCAGAATATTTATTGTGCTAATTTTATAATTCAATATCAATACTCATTTCTTTCAAGTGTTATGCTCATTTCTATTGATATAAGAACATTCGATTGTACAAGCGACTATGAGGGATAATTTGCCCTCTAAGCGGGTCTACATGGAAGCTCTCATCGAATTGGTTGCCCATTAACGGTATTTAGTATGCAATGATGAGGTAATTTTTTGTCATGTTTCTCCACGATACTAAACACGAGATTTTTTTTAACAAACATAAAGAACCATGTATATGCGAGGGGGGCCTTAATTGATTTTTGTCTGTGATGTCATCTTACATGTATACTGTTACATTTCACATAAATTACAAAACTGCAAAAACAATAAAGCATGATTCCGTCACTTTGTAGTTTCTACCTATGGGAAGAGGTTTTGTACATCGTCTTCTTGTTAATACATCTGCATAGGGGAGTGCTTGGAGTGGTCCATCTGACATGGTTCATTTGCCTGAAATAAGCACATTAATGACAAACTTATCATGTGAAGTAGAGTAGTAGTTAAGTGACTAAATTTTAAGCTAGACACCCAACATAATTAGGATAAGAGATGCCATGGTGACACTAAATTTAATGCATTACTACAGGAATACTGAGTTTTGACAGTTCAGACAATAAAACAAAAACAACTGTTTCTGTAAGAGCTTCAAATGGGCAAATATACAAAACTGTGATACATTGAATGTGATCATAGGTGAACCAAGATATGTCCTAGTTTTGCATTACTCGTTATCGTATGTATTTTCTGTTCATTTGCTTAGTTAGGGCGACCAGAACTGTCAAGAGTGGTGAGAAGTATGTGGACCTCAAGGTCATGAGCAACTTCAGTATAGTGGTCAATGATTTGAGTTGCTCCCTTGGAGGCGGTCGTCTCTACTCATAGGATCATTTGGGTTGCTTCTTGTGGGTTTGATGCACAAGTTTTTTCCTTTCAAAAAAGCTTTTAGGCTCTGTTTGGATGCCAAAAAAGCACTAGGAAAAGATAAAATTGAAAGGATAATAATTAATAAATTTATTATGAGTATTTGTTGATGCTTATTTTATTCTTTTATGTCTATTACATGATGCCTAAGAAATCTTAACACATGCAATCTTAATATTCTTTTGTACTTTCCAAGATATAACCAAACACAGGAAAGTAGCTTTCCTGTGAACGTAGTGTGATCCAAATATACAGATAATAATGCCACAGATTCTGATACATTTTCACCCTCACTAATAGAAAGACGGAAGTAAATGCCACTATGAGTGGGGAGACAGAAGTAATTGTCAGTTTATGTGGATAATATAATTGTATCATACCATAGTTTTGATGAATCATTGTGAACTTATAAATTGCCTTCACAAGGGATCCAAATTTCATGGACTTTAGCGGCCCCATATGTCTGCAATAAGAGAATTTACAAGATCCTGTTATAGGAATCTACAGTGAAGCAAGAATTGTGTCAGTTTTTCTATTCGCTTTAGGCTATGTTCGGAATCTGGGAAATAGGAGGATAAAAGTACTCAAAAATGTTTCTAAACTTGAAAATACAAAGAGAGAAATCAATTCTGATTAAATTTATCTACTATTCCGTATTAATACTACGTATATTTAGTTATATTTAGCAGTCTTTGAACAATAGATAAACTGATAAACATAAGTAAAAAATAATTTGAACAAACATCTGAATTTTTTTAATTAAGTTCAAAGTTTGATCCAACATTTTTCCCCTCAAAATTTCTCCAAATTGTCTTCCCATGACATTTTCCATGTTCCACATGGTTTGGGTTTCTCCATTATGGAGAACTAACTAATCCTAAAAACGTATATTATTATTTTAAGAAGTATAAGGAAGTTCTAAGAAGTGAAAAAAGAATGGGACAATATAAGGACTCACACAATCTCTGTGTACCGTAGTCTCCACGGTGGGAAACCCAGGTGGCACCTTGCAGGAGCATAAACTAGCAAGAGATCAGGATCTGGCCCCCCACAACCTGTAAAATCCAAGATAACAAGTAAGCTAAATACTTTTTAGAATTTAAGAATTGATCTCCATTGCAAAATATGAAGAGTTAGAAAAAATGAAAATAAACAACCCATTGGTGAAAACATGAACCCCTTTGTCATTGTGAACACACTAAATACACTAAAGTTGCTGAGGTGATGAGTGTACTGTCCACCTTTTTGCTAACTCAAGTATTACTTATTCTTATTTTAATGAGATTGGACCAAACAACACACATTCAGATAAAATTATATATTTCTTTAATAAATCAAATAACATAATACTCCCGCCTTCTAGAACACTCGTCCTAGTTATATTTTCACAGAGCCTGAAAAATATCTTTGGGGCGATGAAGGTTTGATTTTGGGTGAATAGAGTTTTTTTAATGGATAGTTAAAGTAATACTCCAAGTAATGAGGAACCTAAAAAATGAAAGAGAGACAAGTAATGGAGTCTAAAGATGAAAGTTGGAATGTCGTATTCTATTTCTCAACCATTTTAGCCAAATAAAGTATCTCATGCATTACTTTTTTCCATTATAAGTTAGCTGACTCATAAGTTAACTTTGGTGAAATAAGTTAGCTGACTCATAAGCCAAGAGAAAAGGAAAGGTATAGCAGAACAAAATACAACGTTAGTAGGAAAAAGTGAACAAAATGGGGCATGTGACAACTGTGTGTCTCAGTGTATGTGAAGAAAATCAAGGCGAAAACAATGTACCAATAACTCTCAATGCATCAGTCATGTCTGACTCAGTAAAAGTGTGTTTGCCCAATTTTGTGCCAGAATAATGCTTGACAAAGAGGAAATTAGCAGCTTTGACCAGTGCTTGTTTTCCATCAGCTAATGACAGAAACTCCAGATTTGTATATTTTTGTAGAAGTGGAATGGGCAAAGAATTACCCTGCATGGTCCGATACAATACTACTTCAGCTGTAATTCCAATTGGACTTAAACAGGAAAAGAGTATACATTTACTATTGATTTTTTATAATTTTCAAAAATAAAATTACTACCAGCAAAACAAAAAAAGAGTTGTCTTTGACCAATGTACAACATTTTAGTTTCAGTAAGGTACACATGTAATAAATCATGAACCATACTTGGACTTCTAAAATTATTTATTGGTTCAACTAAATTTATCATATGCGAATTGTCCGTGTGACTCCTTTTTTTGGGGGAAACAACATGAAATATATTAACTTCATGTTTGATAAACCGAACTCCGTTTCTTTTTTGACAAAAAAGGTATTCGAAGTATAATAATAAACGCTACTCAACAAGAAAACATGAGCTCTAGCAGAACTTCCATCCCATTAGGGTAGACTAGATGTTCAATTGCCTGTCAAACTGTAGAGTTTCTGTAATCCTTTTCTGTGAGTAATATTCGTTTAATCTTTTTGATAATGAAGGAAGCATATTCAATAGGAAGTAATGAGCTCAAATTATACTCAAAAATGAAAATAGAGACCATTGCTCTTGATCCCATCATAATAGTCTATTAATGCTAATAGGAGAGCTTGACCTGAGAAATTTTTGTTCGGTTCAGTTCCTCCTTGATTGCTTCCTTGGCCTGCTTAAGCACTCCTGCAACAACATAAAAGGGGCATAAAGACAATTTCCCTGTTTCGTTACCACAATCGACTTATTATGATTGGTTAGCTTATAAGCACAATAAGTAACTTTTGAATTATTTGACTGACATGGATTTTACTACACTTTTCCTTGAAGAAAGTTCAGCACGTTTAACCTTTCACCTAAACAACCCTTGCAACAGGTCCATAGTCTTAAATCCATCTGGGAGCACATGAATACAGATGCAATTATGCATTGACAAAGGCCCATACCTACACTGTCATAGAGGGAGATGCTTTTCACGCCAATATTTGCAAGGAATCCTAAAAGTTCGAGGACTTTTGAAGTTTCACGAGCTTCTTCACTATCAATAACAACCGCTAAGTGCCGGATCTTGTTGACATTTAGAGCACGGTAACTCTTCAAGAAGCCACTTGATATAAGAGCGCTCTCAAGGGTATGGGCTATTCCTAATAAAAAGTACCATAAACTGATGAAAAAGTGTAGAATAAGCCACAACAGGCGGAGTCCCATATCACTGCCCTACAAAAGCATTTAACTCAAATTAGGAGATAAGATAAGAAACGTTGTCATGTCCAAAGGATGTTAATACTAACTATACCATTGAAAAATAAACACAAATACAAAAAAACAGCCAGTAATTCATTATCTATGCATAAGAGACTTTTCCAGTATTTAGGTTTGGTTTAGGTTGAAAAAATAAACTTCCCCCTGTCCCAAAGAGAAAACAGTAAATTTTCATCAACATACAACTTAATAATTTTAGTAAGATGCAATTTTGTAAATTATGCTTCCTGGGTATATACTTAAATGTATTTGCTTTTAAAACTAAATGTAACATATTTTGCTTGTTTGGGACACTTCTTGTTTTGTAAAAATTACATTAAATTCAATGAAAAGCAGCTTCTTTTGTTCACATATGAATGTTTTAGGGCATAAATATATCTCAAAACAATACACATTTTATAAGACAAAGGAGTAAATGACTGTGCCAGATTACATTTCTTCATGTCATCCCTCCATACCACCACCCTCTATTCACTACTCAGCAAATAATGAAGTCAAATGGGGATGATAACATTTAGTCCTATAGAGGAGTTCGCATACAGGAAATTCTACAAATTGGCTAATATTATGATTGATAGGTATGAATAGTGAGTTGTGCAATTCATCATCATCATTACCCCAGTGCCACAAAGGCTCCCACCTACGATGGGGTGTAATTAATAAAAAATATTGTAAATGGCCAGGAGTTGCCCGATTCATATGTATATATGACAGAATATAACACAATAATGAGTGACGAGGATGGATAACAGTGTATAAAGAAGTTAGTGCAACTTAGTAACTTGCTATAGGTAGTACAAGCAAAAGACATAATAAAAAATCTTATAGAAATTTTGTGAGGATGAGATTAAATCAGCATAAGTATTTCTGATATGCATTTTATCAAGCAGCTGCTGCTCACTTGATATTCCCAAAGAAATATTCATAATGACTTACCAAAGAAGTCTGCTTTAAGAGCATCTGAAGCTTCTCTCCCATATCCATTATTCTGCAAAGTTTTTATAAGGTCAAGAACACTACTGATGCTACCAAACCACATAAACAAATAAACAAATTAATGAGTAATGGGGGTTGTGTGTCTGACATTGACTCAAGCTGATGAATTAGCATAATTAATAGTTCAAAATCGAACTTTGTTGCTACTGAGAAAAGCATCTTAATAGAGGTACATAGGGAGACCATCAACTATATTCCCTAGAAAGTCCAATCAAGAAAATTTATAGAGGAACTGTAGCTTAAAAATTAAAATTAAGCAGGAAAAGCAGAGCGATGACGTACTTTCAATTTTCAGGGAAGAGGCTCCATGAGTGGAAATACAAAAGCAATGAGCAAAAGAAAAACATGATAGATGCTAGTTTTAAGGAGGTGTAAAGTGTATGACTTGGTTTCAGTTGGTTATTTATAACAGAACATCTCATAATCTACTCTAAATCTTTATCTATTCCCCCTCTTTAAAAATGTGCACAGCATGTGTCAAATAAATGTTGATATAATTTTACCATCGACTAATATAATTATTTGGTAAAAAAATGTCAACTTCAGGCAGCTATGAGATTCCAATTTTTCAATGCTCAATAATAAAAAGAAAACTGTATAGTTAAACAGCATATAACTGCACTAAATCAAACATTTATCTGTTTCCAGAATTTAGTGGGGGCTATGCATTTTAAAACTACTCCGACACTAGCAGTTCCACAATAAGAACAAATTCACACATATTCCGCATAAATGAGCACCTTTTTAGAGTTTTAGTTCATCAGAAATCACAACAACTTTGACAGCAAGTTCTATAAGCTATTTTTTAAAATGGTATTGTATTTTCTGTAAATAGTCACTATTATGCTACTCTATACTACTTTGTTTTGTCTGTCTATTAATATACTTCTTAACAAATTAAGGGAGGTCAACACATCAAAATAGGATGCCCAATTTAATGGCCATTTTTATTATTTTAAAAAGCCATAAAACTATGTTCAGGAACCTAAGAACATTTTCTTATAAGTAGAAACTTACTAACAACACAAAGTTTAATTGCACAAAATATCAATATACAAATAACTTCATACAAAATCAATGATTTAGAATACTAATTCTAAAAAACGTGGAAATCTAATTATTTTCATCCTAAGACTTGACCTATAGAGACAGGGGAGGATCTGCCGGGGGGTGGAGGGGTCGGTGACCCTGCTTCGACCGTGCGGGCTAGGTATAGGAAGCGCCGAAAGGGTTGGGGGATGCCGGCAAGTCCATAGTTTCCGGCGGGCAAGAGTTGCAGACTAAAGAGTAGCCGACAGGGACGAGGTTGAGGGCTTGTGGGTTTTCTTTTTTCTTTTAAATGAACCGACGTCGTTTCATTTATGGGCAGCCAAAAAATTAACTCAGGGCCGATTGGGCCAACTTCCAAGACCCAACAGCCTTAAGCCCCCAATTCCCCTAAGGGCTAAGGCCCTAACTACTACTACCAGCCTACCAGGAAGTCAGGAACGGATCCCCAAATCTAGGAAATCCCAATCAAGCAATCGGCTATCAACCAAGCAACTATATTATTGGTATTAAATTAAATTATGATTTTTTTTTTACGAGTAGACTTATACTTCATCCGTCTCTTACAATTTTGTTAACTTTCCTTTTTCGGATTTCCCATTAACTTTGTCACTTTCTCTTTTAAGTAAAGAATTTGTGGTCACAGTTAATTCTCTCTCCTCTACACAAACCTCAACTACACAGTTTTTACTTTATTAATGCTCGTGCCGGTCAAACTGGACAAAGTTATTAGGGACGGAGGGAGTATTAAATTGTGAATTTATAATACAAAGTACTCCGTGGTATTTTTTATCGTCAAGACAGATGGCTTAAATTGATATCACAGCATTTAGATAGGGGGTAAAACGACAAAAGGACCACAAGCAACCACCAGCTCTCGAATCAGACTTAGAGTCAATCACCTTCAAAAAGCAATATGACTCGGTGATCCTATAATGGGCAAATGAGCCAACGGCGGTTAAAACAAGCCTCCCATCACGCAATTCTAGTGCAAGAGTTTTACGTTAATAAAAGTAACCAACAGAAAAATAAACAATCTAATCATGAAAAATAAATAGCAAGCAAACAATAAAATTAAAATATTGTTTCCAAACCCTAGACTCTCCTGCACTCCATGGCGGTGGTTCAGGAAGGGGACGATCCAGCAGTGCTTCAGCTACTTCCTCGTCTTGCCTCTTGTTCATCATGTTTTCTACCCAGCCTCCTCTGTCACCACCTATCACGAATGACTTCGAATCCAGATTTGTTCCAGCTTCTAGCCCATGTTTCGTCCATGACCTTTGGCCGCCAGAGACCAAGCATCTGTCTTTCGTCCCTGCACAACCTTCGGCCGCTGAAGACCGAGCATCCTCTTTCCCCCGTTTAATATTGCCAAAGCAAAAAATTAAAAGAAAGAAAAATAGCCGCATAATTGATGGCGGAAGAAGAAACCCTGTACGCCTAAGCCCGCCTGCGGCGTCCGCTCCTCGTTACAAACGATAGCGGAGGAAAAAATCCTAGCGGCGGAAACTCACCCTAGAGAGAGAAGCTCACGTTTTAAAAGTAACAAGACTCTTAATACCGAGTAGTATTTATTAATACGTAAACTAGTTATTGATTTATTGACTATTGTGTATTTTTCATTATTGTATTATATTATATTAAGATTGCTTTAAATGTAAATTTGTAACGAATATAATTATTACATATTATGGGTATTAAATTACGAATTTATAATATGAATTAGTTTGAACTTTGAATTAATTATTTTCCCCCAGACTAAAGCATCAATAAGTTCGGGTGCTAGTTATTCAAATAATTTCGTTCGAGGTACATCTATAGATACAGATGTGTAGCCTTTCACATAGAAAGAGATCTGTTTAGACGCATCGATAATGAGGTGATTATCCAACATTTTTCAGAACACGAGAATCAGCATGTTGGATTTAGCACCATTACATTAGCGCTTTTGATTAAACTTCTTATGTTTTATTTGTATGGTTTGTTAAAACAATGTTATTATTAATTATCTTGATTGTTTACACTTTACATTATGTGATGTCACCCCCTCAATGATTTTCTAGTTCCGCCACTGTATATAGAAGATGTAAGTCAGGAGCAGAGATTCTGGAATTTGGATGTTTCAGACTGAATCTGTTGTTCAGATCATCAAATTTGAATTTATTTGTTAAAGTGAATATACAAATGAGAGTTGGCATTTAACCGAACATTGCTGGACACCACAAAGGCGTGAGTGGTCAGACAAGAGCGACATTGACGGTTGTCGGCTAATAGCTACTTAAGCCAAAACTTCATAAATTACATAAAAATCAGCCGATTCAGCTGATTTTTGGATTATCAAACGGGCTCAGAATGTGTTTCAGTAATGTTTCTTGTGGTTGTGGTAATGTAAATATAATTTACTTATGTATTTGTAAGGATAATGTACTTTTTATTTGTATGGATAATATGAGACATATGTGTTTTGGTAATGTAAAAGACATGTGTGTAATGTTAGAGAATCATGTTTGGGTGAGATTGAAATTGAATGTGTTTCATCATATTAGTGCGGTGTTTAATGTTTTTGTGGTTGTGATAGTGTAGGGATAATTTACTTATGTATTTGAAGGATAATGTACTTGTTTATTTGTATGGATAACATGGGACATATGTGTTTAATGTCAAAGAATGTTGTTTGAATGAGGCTGAAATTGAATTTGTCAACACGCTCTTCAATGTGTTGTTTTTGAATGTGTTGCCTACTCAAACTTTAAAATATGTTTTTCATTGTGTTGTTTGGATGCCAATCTTCTCTTCAGTGTTGTTTTAGAATGTGGTAATGTGCTCATTATTGCACATACCATTTTGCATAAAACTGGCACTAAGAATAAGGTTCAACCCAATCACACTGTGGAGCATTAACCCACTTTACATTCAAACCAACACTGTAATCATACAAATTACACAAATCAATACGGATTTCTCAACTTTGTTTGAACACAAAGATTTGCATTAAGGTCAAATTACAACACACGACACAAACAGACATCATATTTGTTATGTTAATACAAAGACATTACACATGTAATACTAAGACAGTGACAACATTCCCTACAATTGTAATACTCTAACAACAGATACCATCCAAACTAATATTAAGATAGTAACAACACTCCCTACCATTATAATACTCTAACAACATACACCATCCAAACTATCCAAATTATCACTTTGACTTCCTATATAAGACAATAGCAATCAAAATCAAGAGATAAGTAGACCGACAAATGCATATTTCTCTCCTTCGGCAAGCTTGCATACTAATCTCTGCAGCTCCTCAACTGCATTTCTCATCTTGTGTTTCTTCCTTTTCAACTTTGCAATTTGTTCTTCTAAATCCTCTTTCTCCCTATGGAGTTGGCCGACTACGCTTTCCATCTCACGTTTCTCGTCATCGTCAACTACCTTAGGCGAAAAATCTTTAACGCATTGAAAAAATGTATAAATAAAAGCTCCAAAATTCATACAAATTTAAATCAAAAAATTCATACATGATTCAATAATCAGTCCAACTTACCGGCCATAACGCACCCATAGAATCTTCGTCTACGGTTTGACCCAGATTTCATTGCCCTGAGTTTCGTACATACCTTGTGGTGGCATTCAACTGAACAGTCCATCTGCGTTTCATCTCTCGTTCCCCGAGAAGATGACCACGACGTTGAACCCATCTGGGTAGACTAAGGTGACATCCTCTGTCCAGGCAAAGGTGACGTCCTATGGAGCACAACGAAGGTTGCGTGTTTCTATTCTCAGGCGAAGGAGACAATGAGATGTAAATACAAAGAGAATTATTGAAAAATTGGGTTATTAAACATACACGTGACCTGTCGTGTGATGATATGAGCGACTATAATGTATGCTAACCGTCACAAATCAATTACGGAAGACAACACCCTTAATAGGGATTACATAAACCCCCTCCGTCCCTGAAACAACTTCCCACTTTCCTTTTTTGGATGTCCTTAATTTAACTTCCCATATCCTTAAATGGAAACTTATCTACATCAAAACAATGTCAAACAGTGCCAAACAGTGTCGAAACAATGTCAAATAGTAAAATTTACCCCCTGGTAATTTTATATCCTTAATATGTGTGTAAGTCAGACCGGGAAGTTGTTTTAGGGACGGAGGGAGTATAACATATAATTCGGATGATTAAAAGCAGAACTGTCATATATAGTATAGATTATTCTACTCATTTTTTCTAATTAATAACAATAACAATAACAATAACAACAATAATAGATATAATATTGATAATAACAATGTTAATAATAATATGTAATAAATCATGATTGAACTTTTGTGATTTGATGTGAATATTTTTTGGTCTAATATGAATGTTTCTGATCTAATCTGAATTTTTATGATCTTGTCAAATTTTTCTCATCTGACCTGACCTGATTGATTTTTTTTATTTGATCTGAATAAAATAAAAATAAATAACAAACCATAAGGATAAACACATCATGGGTAATGATCCTGTCCACTTAGGGTTGTAAACGAATCAAATAATTTATGCTCGATTCGCCATTCGAATTCGTATAAGACTATCCAGATTCGAAAACATCAAATACAAATACAAATAAGAATACTCAATTTGATTTGAATTGTTTTCAAATACAAATACAAATATTAGTGTATTCGATTCGAATATTAATAGTGATAACATAATAATAATATTAATAATAATAATAGTAATAACACTATAATAACTTTTTAAAGATATCTATACCCTCAAAGTGTAGCTCATATATCCATTTATGTATACAAATTCCCATCTCATTTGCAATAAATCAGAAGTATCATACGGAATAAGGATTGTAAACGAAACAAATAATTTTAATTTGATTCATTTATTTGGATTCAAAAATTATGATTTAAATTTTAAAATATAGAATATAATTACGAATACAAATCAGGTTTTTGGTTCAACTATCTTTCAAATGAAAATCCATACAATTATGGATTCGATTCGAAGAATAAAATTAGAGTCGTTTGACTTTAATATATACAATTATCAACCGATTTCACACATTATAAGTACAATTTCTAATATGTGTGTCTTAGGGCCTGTTTACTTACGACTTAACCGACTTAATTGAAATGATAACTTATTCGTTCAGTCATATTGTCTTGTTTACTTAGAACTTAATGCAAATTGTGTCTTATTCGCTCAGATACTTTGTCACTTATTCGTTCAGCTGGCATTTGATTGTTCATCCTGCTCAGACACCTCAA